CCGAATGGAACCGTCCGGGGCACGCGGAGTGCCGGGACTGGGCAACAGGCGGGAGCGGGCTGGTGCCGCGCGCTGATTGGGCCGCGTCGCGGCCATCTTCTCCTTCTCGGGGCGCTGCCCCGCCAGACTCTGTCACCGCCGCCGAGCAGGGTGAGGCTGAGCCGAGCCGAGCTCGGTCCGCCTCACCGAGGGCCCTGGCTCGGCTCACTCACTCGCTTCTCCCCCGGGAAGCAGCCCTGCAGCGCCCCGAGCGCGGCCGGTGCGGCAGAGGGGAGTTAGGAAGCGATTCGCCTCGTACCCGCGCCATTTTAAGGCACAGCTGTAACACGGAGAGGGGTCTCGTCAGATTTCGTGGAGGGCGATTCCCCCTCCGCTCCGCTCCCTCCGGGAGCAGCTCCGCTCTCCCTCATTGATAAAAAGTACGCACCTAGGAGAAGTATGCATCCATTGGGACATAGGCTAGGGGAGATTGCGATGGTATACAGGGGAAGTCTGATTCTGGTCTCTGCCAAGCAGAAATGGCCGATATGGGGGCCAAAGAGGAGCAGGAGGGCACTGGTGCTCTGTGGCACCCTGTGACTTGGCAGGGCTGTACCATATAATGCTCCTGGAGTTGAATGCTGACTGGGCGTAGGGAAAATCTAGGGTTATGCAGTACCGTGCTTTGAACCTTTCTGTGCCAAAAATGTAAGCCTAAATCCTGTTGAGACTAAAAAGGCCAGCAAAGCACCCTGAACTCTGCCAGGAGCCACCTGCAGAGACACGTTACTCTCTGAGCTTAGCTGCAGGCCAGGTCAAACATGGGGGGAGGGCAGCTTCTCCAAGGGGAAAGCCATGAAGGTGGTGGACCAACAGCAAGCCCCCTCAGCCTTGTGACATGCTTGGCTGGAGGGTTCTGAGGAAATAGCTCCGTGCCACAGAACAGCCCAAAGATCTGCCAATGGTTCTGTAATTAAGCTCTCCCCCTTAGGAAAGGTAGCAGAGCAGTGTATGTGCACTTTGCTTCTCCTTTTCAGAGCCGGACTTAGCTAGCTGGGCTTTCCCCTTCTATTTCTGTAAGCAGAAATCCATAGATGACAGCACTTGTGAAATGCTTGGCCGTGCGTTCTGCCACACTGGAGCTCTGGTCCAACAAATGTTGTGCAATGCTTATCTGTAGGCAGTGGAGCAGCCCTGATGTAGTGTACAACTCGGTGCTCGGAATAAAACATCCTGCTTGCAAGTATCTGAGGGAAAGGGAACATGAGCCACAGGAGAATTTGCTTAAAGCCCCCAAGAGGTTAGTCCACTTCTGTCCCAAATCCTTCAGTCGGTGCAGTTGCGGGGGGATGACAGACTCGCTTGGTGGCCTCTCTCCTGACTGGCTTTATAACTTTAATCTGGTAACTAAAACTTTCAGAGTGATCAACTGTATTGTCAGTAGATGAATGGCTTTAATTTAGTCACTTGGGAAAGAGTTCAAACCAAACTCCAGGAATGACAATGTCCCTGGCAGAGGTTAGACAAAAATACTTTTATCTGTAGAACTGGTAAAATTTTTCCATACAGATGGTGTTTTCCTGCCTTCCTCTCCACCTTCTGTCTGCCCCATCTATTAAGAGCCCTTGGGAAAGAATCATTTTGTATCCTGTGTTTTCAGCCCCAAGCACAGTAGGACCCTGTCCTGGATTACTCACTTGGCCCTACCAAAACAAAACATGACTCTCGGTACTAAAACATGTGGGACAGGACAGCCGAAGGCTGTATGCTGCTCTGCCTCATGGAGAGCAACCCTATGGAAAACCTCCATAACCAGTCCCAGCTCTTGCATTCTGACTTATTAGGAGGAGAGAAAAAAGAGAAGGTGGACCATACAGCAAATCTCATTGGAGAGTTGAGAAGCCTTCATTTTGCAAGAAAAAACAGTTGAATACTCATGGCAAGTCTCAGGCAGAGGGGAAGTCACAAGGGTGGTTAGCTCAAAAGCAGGAAACGCTAAAAAACACTTCACCAAGGACACGCTTCTAGTGATGTGTCATCAGTAAGATAGTTTCAAGTGAACATCTGTCCAGGAAGGCAGCTGGGACAGGTGCAAAGGACACCAGATCTGGGCTACCAAGGCACCTTGCTGTGGTAGTATACTTGCAAATAGGCAATCAGGCTACCTTTGCATCAGTGAGTGTGACCACTTCTCTAACACATCATGCCCAGGCCGCCTGGTGCTCATCAGCCAGCACAGAGCCACCAGGCCTGCAGCAGGGAGCGCAGGGACCGACTGAAGCACAGAAGGAGGTGGATTTATTTTATACTAAGGTTAAGTTTAAAGCTGGTAGGAAGAGGTTTAAACTAGAAATGGCAATACAGCAGGGCCCAAGCAATCTAGGAGAGTTCAAGAGCACACTGACGACAACTCTCTGGCACAGGTGATGGAGGAGCTAAAAAGGAAGGATGCTGTCCTGGACCTCATACTTCTAAACAAGGAAGAACTGGTTGGGAACATGAAGGGCGGGGTCAGCATTGTGTGCAGTGACCATGAGATGGTGGAGTTCAGGATCCAAAGAGGGGAGAGCGGGGCAAAAGGCAGGACCACAACTCTGATTTTGAAGAGCAGACTTTGGCCTCTTCAGAGATCTGCTTGTGATATGGTCCTGGAGAGCATAGGGGTCCAGAAGAGCTGGCTGACTTTCAAAGATCATCTCCTCCATGCTCAGGGAAGGTCCATCCCAAGAAGTAGGAAATCAAGCACAGGTGGCAGGAGGAAGGCAGACTCTCTTCAGTAGTGCTCACTGACAGGGTAAGAGGCACAAACTGAAACACATCAGATTCCATCTGAACACAAGAAAACTTTTTCTTTACTGTGAGGGTGCTCAAAAACTGGAGTAGGTTGCCCAGAGAGGTTGTGGAGTCTCCATCCAGGAGGATACTCAGAACCCAACTGGACGCTGTCCTTGGCAACCTGCTCTAGCTCACCTTGCTTGATGGAGGTTGGACTAGATGATCACAAGACGTCCCAGCCAACTTCATCGATTCTGTGATTCTGTGAAATACTTCCTATCTGACTTCTCAAATGCAAAAAAGCGACACAGAGCTCCAGAAAGCTTGATGTGTGGAGTAGGAAGGCAAGGTCACAAACTCCTTCTGTATCTATAAGGGGCTGGGACTGTGCTGGGAAGACAGAGCTGGTCATCTTCTCTGTGATTATTGGGGAGGTACACATTGCTTCCAGATTCGTTTTAAGACAGTGTTTATAGTGTCTGTTCTGCTACTGATGAATTTTGCTCTGTTTGTTTCACAAAAAGACATTTAAAATCTCTCGTGTTTTTTTAATTCATTCCAATTGCCATCCCCTGAGAGTGCCCTTGGTATTATCCAGCAGTGATTGAACAATTCCTATTTGCTGTGAAGGTGACCTGCAAAGCAAAACAGTTTTTTTCCCTCCTTCTTTATAATGTATAAAGAAACCAGCATTATTATTAATTTATTTTGTTTTCCTAGTGTCTTCACTCCTGCTTCTTTTTTAACCTCAGAACCATAAGGCTATCAAGTTGCAGCTGTGGGTGATGAAAGCGCCAGCTTTCTGACCTCCTCACTGGAGGTGTAGTCAGTCTTCCACAACCAGGAGGAGCACAGAGGGCTTTGATGCAGGTGTATCTTCAGGCACAAGAGCTTCCAGAAGACTCACAAATACCCTGTAACAACAGGTAGGCCTAAAAAGAAACCCGGAAGCCACGACAGCAATATGCAATGGAAAGAGAGAAGAGAGAGATGCATTGTTAGTATCTAGGGTTCCTGCAATAACATGGTCTTAAAATATGTTAATGAGCACTGACTGCATGAGTGGGTCACACAGAGTGACAGCACCAAAACTTTGCTCATGCAGTTCACAGGAGCAACAGGGAACATGTCAAATAAACTGTGACCGCAGCCAAAGCAGGAGCCTTTCCATCACTGAGGGAGTTGAATGTCTGTGTGCCACTCAGTCAGTGTCTTACCACACAAGCCAAATTTAGCCCACAATGAATGTCTACAGCAGGGGTTCCACTAATGAAGTTAAATCCGTTTCCAAGCTCATTTGCTTGCTGCAGAATATTTTTCTTCTGCGTGCAAGATGTAAGTGTTTGTAGGCTAAGACTCATGGGGAGGTTTCAGTCCGAAGCAAAATCACGGTTGAGTTGTTAAAAGAGTTCTCAGCAGTCGCAAGTCTGGCAAAAATCCCATGCATCTCAGCAGGGCTGGGATTTCACCCTCTGGCTGTAATGGAGTTACGCCAAGCAGAGACATTGGTCCAAACTCCCCGTTTTCTTTCAGTTGCTCGGTATTAAGTGCTACTGGAGTCCCAGAGTAGATCTTAGAAATCTGCCAGCAAGAGCAAGAGCTGGTGTTTAATATTTTATTGTACACAGAGATTATAAATTTACAGAAGCCTGCAAATGCCACCTTTAACCAAACCTTACCAGGCCATTACCATACGTCTGATAAGCTCCTAAATTAAGCTACAGGTTCAGTCAGCTGTTTTTTAACATTGATGACACTTCAGCTCCCTGATGATACTTCAGCACCCATTTAACAAGCTGGCAGCCAGTCTGGCATTCTGGAGACTCCAGAAAACAGTGGTTCAGTGCCTTCAGCACACCATATTCGACCATCAGGGTCAGGATTTCCCCAAGGAAATATGAATGATTCCAGAGGAAGCCACACAGGCTTGAGAGGAGCTTCAGCCAG